GAAGCATCAACATCTTCCACTGTCTGATGGAGATGAACGACCACTCAGTCCATCAGGAGATCCAACAGTTCCTGAAGTCAGAGAACAGATCAGAGAAGAAACTCTCTGAGATCCACTGCTCAGCTCTGGCCTACATGCTGCAGATGTCAGAGGAGGTTCTGGATGAGTTGGACCTGAAGGAGTACAACACATCATGGCAGGGACGACGGAGACTGATTCCAGCTGTGAGGAACTGCAGAAAGGCTCTGTAAGTCAATTAACAACATTATAAATTAACTTTATTTCAGTATTAAATATACACTTTACACACATGCACAAAATAAAACTCAGGATATTGCCCTTGATTGGATGGGTAAATGCAATCAAAATGGTGAGCCTACCTGGGCTTTTTTATCTTTTTCAAAACGTGCCCTTCCTACCTACATTTAAATGCATCCTCTTTCAGAAGCTCGATTCAATTATATTGCCTTTTATATGGGGCTACAAATCAAACAGGATATCCAAAGATCACCTTCATCCACCTCTTACGGGGGGGGGGTCTGCCTATTTTTAAACATTACTACTGGACAGCTAACTCCAGGGGCCTCATGTACTAAGACTTGTGTGGATTTCCTACTAGAATGTGGCGTACACTGAAAGAGTGAAAGTTCCGTACGCACAAAAAAAATCTGATGTATCAAAACGTGCTTACACAGAATCCCAAGCACATTGTCTTTGTACATCGCAATCAACGTGAAATTGAGCTCACATGCACGAGCACAACGCTCCACCCTGTCCCCTCCCTCAATTACACCGATTTGAATATGCTAATTAGTATAAATAGGCCTAGATAGTGCTGTCTTTAGTAAAATGGAAAAAGCCAGGAAAAAATAAATTTGTGTTTTAAGTGTGAGTTGGAGGTGCTGCTGATGGAGGTAGAGGCCAATAAAAAAATTATTTGGCTCTCTATCGTCCGGCATTAACACCAAAAGAAAGAAAACAGAATGGGAAAACGTGGCACAGGCAGTAAACTCTGTAGGGTCGGAGAACCGCACTGCAACAGAGTTGAAAAAGAATTGGTCAGATGTGAAGATGGAGGTGAAGCGGCGGACATCTGCCCATCGCCAGAGCCCTCAGGCCACAGGTGGTGGAACCGGGGTGGAGGAGCTGACCCCATTTGACCATAGAGTTCCCATCCAACAGGCCGTGTTCTCACAAGTGCTTTGCTTGAGTCCTAAAAAGAAATTATAAGAGGCATCGGTGAAATTAACCGCCACCTGAGTAATGTCACCAACGCACTCACTAGCATCAGTCAATCATTAAAAGATTTGGTTAAAAAGTAAACATTGTCTCCTTTTACCTTTTTTGTATTGTTGCAATTAGTGTCGGGTCTGAATGGCACCTGGATTGTGTTGAGCGTTAATGGGTCCAGGGTCTGGTTCCTGTAGTTGCCCCACCACCTCAACCAATGGCATAGCGTATCTGTGTGCAACATTGTGGAGGACAGCAAACGCCAACACAATGCAGCACACCTTCTCCGGCCCATATAAAAGCATGCCCCCAGTCCTGTCCAGGCAGCGCCACCGGCTCTTCAGCTGGCCGATCCCCCCTCTCCACAACGAATAAAGATCATTATACCTCCGCTCCCAGTCAGTCTGTGGGTTGGCGAGGGGGGTCATCAGCCACGGTCCCAGTGCGTAACCGCGGTCTCCTAATGAGCAAATTAACGATTATAGCACATTCACCTTTTCTGTTGATTATACAATGATCTCATTTAAATGCTCTGTGTCACCTACCAATAAGCCACCCATCGCGCACTCTGCCAGCTTGAAGCCTAATCCCAGCCATGCTGTTACTGAGAATGAATGAATCATGGGTTGATCCAGGCCACCTCACCACAACATTAGTAAGACGCATTTGTGCATCACAGATTATTTGCACATTTATGGAATGGAAATGCTTCCTATTCACATAAGCAAATTCATCCTCAGATGGCGCCTTTATAGCAATATGTGTGCAGTCGACAGCACCGGTTACATTAGAAAAACCAGCTATCGCTGCAAATTGCGCTTTAATGTTTGCCTAGTCAACAGCATCGTATGGGAACCTTATATACCTAGCCGACATGTGGATGATCCTGTCCAACACAGCTGGAATGGCGCGGCTAAGAGCTGACTGGGACATCCCTGAACAGTCTGCCAGTTCCCTCTGGAATGACCCTGTTGCCAGGAACCCAAGTGTTGTCAGCACCTGTAAGGGAACTGGCAATGAGTGGCTCCTCGCCGTCTCTCTCTCCAAGACCTGACCCAATTCAGCACAGAGTTCCAAGAGGATAGTTCTTGGAAATCTGAAACGGCTGATAAGCCAATCAAGTCCTGATCGTCACGGAAAACCTGTTCCCTGCGGATTCGGCCATTAGCCAGGTCCTCTAATAAGGCCAACACTGCCTCATCAACATATCGATAATTGCAACATTTTGCACATGCGTTTATATGCTTTACACTAATTCGATAATTAATGCTAGATTTTTCCCGTAAACCCAAGGTGCAAATTGTTAAGTGTTATAATTTGATGGCGCCCTTACTCCCTTGTATTGTGAAAGGGTTACGGTACGTACAAGACGTGATGTCACCACGCTCCCAGTGAGCGCTAGTTGTTGTTGTGTGTGAGCCATGCTGATGAGACGGCAGCACATCGGTCCGCACTTTATTGTTAACTGTTAAAAAAATATGCCAGAGGCTAAAGATAACTCAAGTGTGTTCTACTTATCCTCCATACGCAGTAGAGGGCTGCACGCTGCAGTAAATAACCCCTTAACACAAATAATCTGCAAATGATTTAAAATTGTGTAATTGCTTGATTGATTGTAAATAATAAAGACTTTCGCATGCAGTGCAACTTCTCGAGAGCAATTGTCAATTTCGGCTTTGCAATTTCACTACAGAGTTGCCAACTGACAACTGACATAAGCAAAGAATATGTACGTACGCCAGCAATGAAGCTGCCGTGGAGGACCACACATTCTCACGTTCATTTCACTTTTAGTACATCCGAACATGAACGTGAAAAATGGCGTATGCACGAATTTTGTGCGTACGTAACGTTAGTACATGAGGCCCCAGGGCTCTTACATACTGGAAATGCATAAGTGCAGAGACTGAAAGAAAGCCTTTATGGCTACAACTAGAAGCTTCTGCTGTTAAATATTCTTCACTTCCTGTTCTTTTGCTTTCCATTTCTGCCCTGACAGACAAATCAATTCAACAAAACTTGACCATAAAGAGTTCTTTGCAAATATTAAAGCACATAAAAGTTATCTTCAATTGAGACTCTACGTAAAAGGAAAAGTGTCTCCACTATGAGGCCATCCCAATGACTTGTTATTTTTTAAAAGGATTCCCTCCAGATTCCAGACTGCTAGTACTTGCTTTACTACTTTGGTTTCTTCAGGTCCTATTATGGAAGCCTGGGCCAATGACTTGAATTCAGAGATATTAGCAGAGTTCTGGGAACGGGCAATGTCCTTGTTGTTCTATTAAATCACGCTACAGGTTAATCTAGTACAAGGTGATGCATAGACTGTATTACTCAAAAACAAAAACTGAACTGCATCTCCTGAATGTGACAAGTGTTGGTGTGCTGAAGGATCACTAGCAGGATTGGATTCTTATTTGCCCTATATTATACAACTTTTGAACTGCAGTTTTCTCGAGTGGCTCTCAAAAGCCTATTCCAGAGACATTCAACCCAACCACAATCTGGCCATGTTTGGATGCTCTGCAGAGACTTTCGAACTTGTGTATGACATAAAGATTGCTCTGAACATATTTTTTTGACCTGTAAGTCTACCACTTTGCCCCGCCTTTGCACACTGGCTAAAGGAGATGTTGTCTGTAATACAAATTGAAAGACTGCATGTGTACAAACCCAATACACAGAATAGATTTTAGAGAATAAGGGGACCTTTCTTAGACCAGTGCCAAATACCCCACATCCACAGGTACTTCTACTTATGTGGATAATGAGTGGGTTTGATGTTTTGTTCAGTTCACTTGTCCATGCTACTTTACCTTACTCCCAACATGTTGACATTGTGACATTTTTGTAATCTTGTGAAGTGTCTGGTAGCCTTATATAATTCTGTTGGTGTTTTTATTGTTTTATATGTATTTTCAATATATCTTGTCATTGTAAAAATGAAACCTGTAAATTAAGTATATTAAAAAAAAGTATTTTTAAACGTCAAGTTTTATATTCTCTGTCATCACAGACTTTCTGGCTGTAAGCTCTCAGAGACTCACTGTAAAGTCATGGCCTCAGCTCTGAAGTCCAACCCCTCCCATCTGAGAGAGCTGGACCTGAGTCACAACAATCTGCAGGATTCAGGAGTGAAGCTGCTGTGTGGTTTTCTGGAGAGTCCACACTGTAGACTGGAGACTCTGAGGTCAGTTCACTGACTCTCTGTTACTGTTGTAGATCTGATGTTTAATTAACAATTGAACCTAATTTATGTTCATACATAACTTACATCCATAAAGTTGAACATTTCCCTTTGTTCATATTTTAATGTTTGTTGAACTAAATTTAGTCTGCAGTCACAAAGACTTGTGTTTGTTAAAGAAACTGTAGAAAATGTCCACTGTTAGTTGTTAAAGTAAACGAATGTTTATAATTGTTGGTAAATGGTCACATCTGGATACAGAAGATCCTCTGAACTAATATTTGTTTTAAACTGATCAAGTTTACTTGCTGAACTAATATTTGTTTTCACAATTAACGTCTGATCAATGATATTGATCCTACAGACACACACACACACACAGTTTCCAATTAGTTGGCTGAACTTTTCCCCCGCCATAGTTTCATCATGTACCTGAACCTGAATTTGTTTTAAACTGATCAAGTTTACTGAAGGAGAAATATTTCTTTGGTTTCTGTTTGGTTTCAGCAGAAAATGGACATAGTAATGTTGAGCTCCACATTCAAAACATTTTCATGTTAATCTTTTATTCTTTATTCAGATTGAGTGGCTGCAGTTTGTCAGAGATCAGCTGTGATTATCTGGTCTCAGCTCTGAAGTCCAACCCCTCCCATCTGAGAGAGCTGGAGCTGAGTGGAAACAATCTGCGGGATTCAGGAGTGAAGCTGCTGTGTGGTTTTCTGGAGAGTCCACACTGTAGACTGGAGACTCTGAGGTCAGACACCATTTTTATTTCTGTGCTGAGATGAATCTGATGTGAAAGTTGTGCTGACAGTAAAGTGCAGACATAAGGCTGATATTATACTGATCCACACTGAGTATCTTAATGCTAAAGTCTGTTTTCTTCTTCAGTGGTTTAGTCCATTGGCTGTGGCAGAGCAATGTTGAGCTCCACATTTAAAACCTGAATATAACAAGAAGAATCTACACTGAATAATTCACTCTGAACCTCTTAAACTCTTGATTTAATCTTAAATGTTACCCTTTGTTTCTTAAATAGATTTAAAAGAAAACATAACACTTACATAATCACAATTTAAACTATCATAGAATAGTAAATAAATTCAGTTTTTTCTTTTCTTTTCATTTCATTTCATTGTTATGAAGCTATATGATGTTTATACTGACTGAATAGTTTAAACTGAAGCTGATTTTATTTTATTACTCCACTATTCCTAAAAGAAATATTGTAGATGTCTTTTGTTCACATTTCCCCAAAATCCATCCTGACATATTTCTGTGGGTTTTTATTTGTGTTTGGCTTTTACAGTTTGCAACCTGCATCCTACTGGGTTCAGGAACATTGTCTTCTAAACTTACATCATTTATTCTTTATTCAGTTTGAGGGGCTGTAAGCTCTCAGAGATCAGCTGTTCTTCTCTAGGCTCAGCTCTGAAGTCCAACCCCTCCCATCTGAGAGAGCTGGACCTGAGTCTCAACAAGCTGCAGGATTCAGGAGTGAAGCTGCTGTGTGGTTTTCTGGAGAGTCCACACTGTAGACTGGAGACTCTGAGGTCAGTTCACTGACTCTCTGTTACTGTTGTAGATCTGATATGTTTAATTAACAATTGAACCTAATTTATGTTCATACATAACTTACATCCATAAAGTTTTTTCATGTTTGTTGAACTAAATTTAGTCTGCAGTCACAAAGACTTGTGTTTGTTAAAGAAACTGTAGAAAATGTCCACTGTTAGTTGTTAAAGTAAATGAATGTTTATAATTGTTGGTAAATGGTCACATCTGGATACAGAAGATCCTCTGAACTAAAATTTGTTTTAAACTGATCAAGTTTACTGAAGGAGAAATATTTCTTTGGTTTCTGTTGATTTCAATGTGTTTTCACAAATAATGTCTGATCATTGATATTGATTGTTTAGTACACATACAGATCAATGCATATCTCCACATGCAGCTGTTTAAAGGATCAATATAGTATTGATCCTCTAATTACAGACCTGAGTGAGATCAGCAGCATGTTATTGATCAGTGTTGACATGAATAGGTGTATTAATGTTGTTATCCAAATGTGTTGTTGCTGACATTTGGATGATGTCTGTAGAAGGCTGACATTATGACGATCCACAATAACACAATGACAAAGTCACTCTACTCATTTTAGAGAAAAGTTCATTGATTAGGACATAGTAATGTTTAAAACCTGAACACATCTGATTGGATTATGAAGTGACTTTTATATTCATTTATTCTTTATTCAGATTGAGTGATTGCAGTTTGTCAGAGATCAGCTGTGATTATCTGGTCTCAGCTCTGAAGTCCAACCCCTCCCATCTGACTCAGCTGGACCTGAGTGAAAACAACCTGCAGGATTCAGGAGTGAAGCTGCTGTGTGGCTTTCTGGAGAGTCCACACTGTAGACTGGAGACTCTGAGGTCAGACACCATTTTTTATTTCTGTGCTGAGATTAATGTGATGTGAAAGTTGTGGTTACTCAGTTTAAACATGATTTGCATCAACAAAAACAAGCTCCTCCTCAACCCTTCAGCATACTGTTTGAAGAGGATTTTCAGCAAACTTCTGAAATCTCTGAGTCCTCTCCTCCACCTAACTTCCCTTCTCGTCAGGCACCTCGGCTACGCTCAACAATCCACATTCCCCAATGCATCCAGCCATCCTCCACCGACAACTCCAACATCATCACCTTTGACCCCCAGCAGCTCCAGGGGAAGACCTCATCTTTGGCCTCCGAGGGACATTGCTCCTTCAAACTATCCCAGGCAAAGGCATCGCGACCCGATTTCACCTCACCTTCCCTCCCATCATCCCACAGCTCCAAACATATCAGAGTAGACAGTAGGGATGGGAATCTTCTTCAGAACCGGTGCCCAGTGAATCGATTCCTTGGAACCGTTAGCGTGCCTGCTTAACGATTCTGCTTATCGGTTCCGCTCGTTGCAAATGCGTCATGACGTCACACACGTGCTGCGATGTTTTGGTTCAGAACGCCGCGAACATGTCGAGGCAGAAGCGCTCTAAAATTTTGTGATATTTCACGCGAAAAGAAGACAATACGGTCACTTGCAACACTTGTAAAGTTTCCATTTCGTCAAAGGGGGAACTACCTCCAAAATGCAGAAACATTTGGCCACACAGCATGCAATTCATTTGCAGGACTGTGGCGTGTTTGATACACTAATACCTAGCGACACAAGTGAGTCAAGCCGCAGCGGAGCTAACGGGACGCCATCTGTTATCAATGCCGAAGGTAACTTTAAATGACATGATAATTTTTCTGCACAAAAATTATTATACTTATGGCTAAAAATGTGTGTCACAATAAGTCATTTCATTGGTTACACTGTTACCTATCAACACATGGCTAATTTTTATATTCAAATGAGCCATGTGTTGATTCGCCACAACACGTGCTCATGCGCAGTTGCTACCACCAGGCTGTCAATCAAACTCTAAGCGACAGAGAACTTAATCTTTATCTATCCAGATAAAAACATTAAGAACAGTTTCTGTATGATGTTTATTAGACCTATGTAATCTGAATTGGAAGGGCACGTTGTCATGAGCTGTATCTTGTATATTTATTATTAGCTATGTGGTATGTGTATGCACCTTTATGTAATCTGGTGGAAAAACATTAAAATTTAAAACCGGATCATACCAAACAAATATCTGCTTGCATGTCCCCGTGTATGCAAAGTGTCCTCCTTTTTGATGTGAAGGAAATGGCCACCCTATTTCGGTCTGTGTTTTTAGTTTTTATGGCACATAATGGCAGTTGGGCTTAAAAAGCCAAACATTTATTTTTTTGTCTGGACCAATTAATGTGAAAATTAACAATTTCCTAATCCTAAGGCACTCTTGATAATCTTTCAAGGCATACACTAGCGTGCCATGGCATACTGGTTGAGAAACACTGCCCTAGGCTATGGGTCCCTGGACTTTACTTTGAGAAGTAGCTTGTATACTTTTAGGTTTGTTCTGAGGTTGCTATACATAATTTGTGTATACTCTGTGCTGTGTCTTCTGATCAGATATTAAAGCGAGTTAAAACAAACAAACAAATTTGTACTTATTCCCTCACCCAATGAGAATCGATAAGAGAATCGATAAGAGAATCGATAAGAGAATCGATAAGAGAATCGATAAGGAATCGGATCGATAAGCAATATCGATAACGGAATCGGAATCGTTAAATTCTTATCAATTCCCATACCTAGTGGACAGTCGCTCACCTGAAGCTGCGATAACAAAGGAAAACTTTTCAAACTTTTCACAGACTCCCAACAAAACACCACTCTCCCTTGCAGAAATTCACGACCTCTTCTGGGTTCCAAGTATTGCGACTAGTGCGGCGCCCCATCCCATCCCGCCACAACATGCACCCTTTCAGCTTCTTTTCCTCGAACCTCAGCTTGAAATAAATGTAGCCTCGCCAATTTTTGCAGTGTGCCCTCAACAGCCCCTCCTCCATCTAACAACCCTAAACCCACAAACATTCAACCAACAGGAGGATGGTCTGTAATAACTTCAACAAATGATGAAACATCCCAAGTTGCTGTGTCCTCCACATCTGCTCCTTCTTGGAGCTCACGCAAGATTCACTTGTCCTCATAATCCAACTAAGTACTTGTGTAAGTGTAAGTATCTGAATACACAAATGAATACCAACGCTCTCGCCTTAAAGAATCACCCAGATCCACAAATCGTTGACTACCTCATACAAGGTTTCACAAACGGTTTCCATCCAGGATTGCAGGTCATGCCAGATTCCTCCTACATATGCCACAACTCAGCCAAATTACTGGATAAAGTAATTAAAGATACATTTATGATTGGTCCATTTCCCAGTCAACCTTTCCCTACATTGAGAATCAGTCCAATCAGCATTGCCACCAGGAAATACTCAGCGAAAAAGAGACTGCAATATGTAACAGTCAGGCACGCTATCTCCCTCATCGGCATTGCCAGCCAAAGAGCCTGGTGGTCCAACCAGACATCACCAGTGCATTTAAAGTCCTTCCCATCCACCCCGACTACTGACGCCTACTTCTTTGCCTTGCGCCTGACCTTCGGGTGCAAGAGCAGCTCAAAAATATTTAATTCCTTGTCCGAAGAACTCTACTGGATCTTGACAAATAACTACAAACTCCCATACATCATCCATCTCCAACATGATTTTCTCACAGTCACACCATCATCTTCTCCCCCATCATATGGTCTCAATACTCCGATTTCCACTTTCAATGAGCTTGGAGTTCCTCTATCCCCAGAGATAACAAAGGGCCCCCGCACATCCCTGGAATTTCTTGCAATTATCCATGACCCCGTTTCAGTCCAATCATCCCTGCCCACTGAGTAAGTCCTCCAGATTTCTTTATTTATTTCAAATTTCCTCCTGGCTCTCATCTCTCTCATTTCTCCGCCATCTGCAAAAAGTACCCAGTCATCATAGAAGCTATTCATTGGCATCACAGTTGGTCCAAAAAAATCATCACCATCCACTCCGACAACAGCACCATCATGGACATCATAAACAAGGGATGGTCCCACTGCCTAGACATAATGCAGTTCATGCGGAAGCTCACCCTAGTTTCAGCCCAGCATCAATTCATTATTCAAGCCTCTCACGTCCCAGGTCACAAAAACACAATCGCTGATGCACCCTCTCATTTCTCGTTACAGAAATTCAGATATTTGGCACCAGCCTCCGACCCTTTTCCAACTCTAGTCCCACCGTTTTCAGCCACCATCTGACTCCCCAAATGGAAAATCTCAGTCTCATCACCCACTCAGCTCCCTCCCGCCATCTCGCAGAACTCCTTCATCCATCAATTCATCCCTCAACCCATTCCCAATCCATTCATCATCCTTACATTTTTTCATATTGGTTCAATTTCATCCTCTGCTGTTACTAAAAGAAATATTACTCTGAAATATATTTACATATTTCACATCTTTGGAAACTTTAGGATGAAGCCACCGGTGGAGCTGGCAGAGGTTAAGAGCTGAAGTCACTACGTCTTTATTGAAGCAGCAGCACGTTGTCATTAATATTAATGAGAGCTCTTTTTCAAATGATTTCAAGGAGCAACATTGTCTTCTAAACTTACATCATTTATTCTTTATTCAGATTGAGGGACTGCAGTTTGTCAGAGATCAGCTGTGATTATCTGGTCTCAGCTCTGAAGTCCAACCCCTCCCATCTGAGAGAGCTGAGGCTGAGTAACAACAATCTGCAGGATTCAGGAGTGAAGCTGCTGTGTGGTTTTCTGGAGAGTCCACACTGTAGACTGGAGACTCTGAGGTCAGACACCATTTTTTCCTTCTGTGCTGAGATTAATGTGACGTGAAAGTTGTGCTGACAGTACAGTGCAGACATAAGGCTGATATTATACTGATCCACACTGAGTATCTTAATGCTAAAGTCTGTTTTCTTCTTCAGTGGTTTAGTCCATTGACTGTGGCAGAGCAATGTTGAGCTCCACATTTAAAACCTGAATATAACAAGAAAAACCTAAACTGGATAATTCCCTCCGACCTTCATAAACTCCTGATTTTCATTTTAGATTTCACAGCATGTGTTTTAAAATAAATCATAATAAATACAATGAATAATTATCTATTTTAAATATTAGACAACAACAAATATATTCAGTTTTATTGTTCCAACATTTGTATGAAGCTATATGATGTTTATATTGATTTTATGACTCCACTTTTCCTAAAAGAAATATTGTAGATGTCTTTTGTTCAAATTTCTCCCAAATGCATTCTGACATATTTGACATCTTTGTAAACTTTGGGATCTTGAGTGGAACCTTCAATCAGTTTCTGTGGGTTTTTCTTTGTGTACGGCTCCACAACATGAGTTTGTATAGATGGAGCCACTGGTGGAGCTGGCAGAGGTTAAGAGCTGAAGTCACTACGTCTTTATTGAAGCAGCAGCACGTTGTCATTAATATTAATGAGAGCTCTTTTTCAAATGATTTCAAGCAGCAACATTGTCTTCTAAACTTACATCATTTATTCTTTATTCAGATTGTGGAACTGCAGTTTGTCAGAGATCAGCTGTGATTATCTGGTCTCAGCTCTGAAGTCCAACCCCTCCCATCTGAGAGATCTGGACCTGAGTCTCAACAATCTGCAGGATTCAGGAGTGAAGCTGCTGTCTGATCTTGTGGAGAGTCCACACTGTAGACTGGAGACTCTGGAGACTCTGAGGTCAGTAGAGGGTTGGAGTAAGTCCATGCTGGTTCCAGCAGTATTGTACCAAAGACAGATACAGTATGTGCTGCTTTGCTCAGTGAAGCTGTGAGAGGAGAATGGTGACAGGCAGACAGAGAGAGAGAGAAGCTTGTTGTGATCATGTGTTTGAGTTGATGTGATGCTGGATTCCAGCATCAAGATGTGCAGAGACAGTGGTCCTCACTCAGCCAATCTGATATCAACATGTTTTTTCTATCACTTCAACACTAAGCAACTGATCAGTTAATCTTTTTTTTTTTTTTTTAAAGTTTTTTTTTTGGCCTTTTATTGCCTTCATTGTATAGTGACAGCCGTAGATAGACAGGAAAGGGGGGCAGAGAGAGAGGGGATGACACACAGCAAAAGGCCACAGGTTGGATTTGAACACAGGCCACTGCAGCAACTCCGTACATGGGTCACCAGCTCTACCGACTGAGCTAACCAGGTGCCCTGATCAGTTCATCTTTGTCACAGCTCTAAGATCAGTCTGACTGAAGCCTGCAAACCACTGGATCTTATTTCAAAGAACCATCATTATATTTAGTGACCATGTGGTCTTTGTGCAGACCAGAACCTCTGCTGAAGTCCAGTAATCACAGCTATTGTTCAGTCTTTGTATGAACATGTCGGACCTTTAACATCAGATATATATCTGTCCATTTGTCTTTTGTTTAGTCCAAATATGTTTTATATTATTTTAAACAGACTCCATATTTACAGATCTGTCCTGTAATATTTCAAAATCAGATGAATCATTCAAATGTGACTGAGACAGTTTTTTTTTTAGTTTGAACCCTAACAGCAGTAAATGCATCATTCCAGTGGGCAGTGAATGCCTCTCTGTTTCTGCAGTAATGATGCATTCAGGGACTCTCAGCACTTTATTTCCACTGTGTACTTCAGTGAAATCTGCAGAGTCAACAGACTTGATGTCCAAAGTGTCTGCAGGTCTGTGAGCTTCAGCTCAGTGTGTTCACTCCAATACGTTAACATGAGAGCTGAAAGGAAGCAGGCTACACTACACAGCCGCTCCACTGCTGGTCTGAACTGGACTGAAGTCCCTGCTGCTCTTTATACTGGATGTGCTGATGGAGGGAGTCTCTGTAAACACTGATTTATGACTCCTGTTGTCTGTCTTCTTCTCTCATCAGCTGGAAGTGATCTCAGTCAGAGTGTGAGTGGTGAGGAAGGAGGTTGTGTTGGAGGATCAGCTGTGTCCTGATGATCCAGAGAGGTTGAAGCAGCAGCATCAGCTCTGACTGGGCCATGTTACTGGGAGGTAGAGTGGAGAGGAGAGCTTCATCCAGCAGTGACTGACAGAGGAATCACAACCAGTGGAGATGACTCTCAGTGCTGCAGTCTGAACTGCTCTGAGATCAGCTCCACTGTCAGACACAATGTCAAGTCCACCATCATCCCTGTGTGTTCCTCTGGATGTGACAGAGTATCATCAGTGTATCTGGACTGCTCTGCTGCTGCTCTGTCCTTCTACACAGTCTCTGCAGACACACTGAGACTCCTCCACTCCTTCTGCTCCACACTCAACCACCTGGAACCTGTAAGTTTGTGGGCTCTGTTAGTAGTGCATTTAAACTTTCAAAGACTCTTGTTCCAGTGATATACATTAGAGGGCAGTAGTGAGCAGTTCTGAAAGTTGATTTTATTGATCTTGTTGTGTGTGCGTGTGTGTGTGTGTGTGTGTGTGTGTGTGTGTGTGTGTGTGTGTGTGTGTGTGTGTGTGTGTGTGTGTGTGTGTGTGTGTGTGTGTGTGTGTGTGTGTGTGTGTGTGTGTGTGTGTGTGTGTGTGTTAATTACCGTTAAACTGAATTTATTAGACAATAAAGTAATGAAATGTACATTTCTGAAGAAACAGTGGAATAAAAGAAATTAACTGCAATGTTGATTTTCAGTGCATATTTATGGTGGGGTTGGTTGTTGTGTTTGCATCATCAGTTTAAAAATGATTTTAAAGAATTACATTATTTGGCATATTTAAAAAAGGCAAACATTTTTCATTTTGAAAAAATGGAACAAATATTTATGTTTTTATTATTGCTTTCATTAAAGTCCTATTGTTTGGCTAAAAGATTGCTGTGTGTTTTTTTTTAAGCAGATGATTATGATGAGGATGATGATCGGTCTGTTGTTTCACAAATGTATACGTTTTAGTCATCTATGCTGCCATGCTTCTTTGTCATTTCAGTGCTGATGACTGAGGATTATTTTCATTATCAGCTATAATACCTTCTCAATCATCTGTTACCTTATTACAATTACTGTCACATATAAACATAAAATCATAACATTTGAGAAGCTGGAACCAGAGAAGTTTTGCTCAAAACATGATTGAAACAATTCTTGTGGACAGTAGGTGGTGCTATTGTTTCTTAGCAATTTTCTTTACTGTGGAAAAACAGGTTTAATCAGTCACCAAATCAACCATGTGTTATTGTATATTAGATCAGAAACAGCTCAAAGCTGGAAATAGTTTAGTCTTAAAGTTATAGTTGAGGAACATGTACACCATGTGGTTATGGGCCAAGTGCTTTAATCACGCCAGTGAGCAGCACAGCATGTTTGAAAAATTTGCTTCTGTTGAAAATATCTCCGTACTGACACACTGATCATTAACTGCTGCAGGTGTAATCAATCACTGAATCAAAGTTAACTGAGGGTTTGAAATAAGACTGTTCCATTAGTAGTATTACTGCACTGCTCCACTGAACACACTGATAGTCAGTTCAGTCCAAGCAGTAGCAGCAGTAGGAGAAGTAGTAGCTGTAGCAGTTGTAGTAAAGGCTGTAATAGTAGCTGGAGTTGGAAGTCTTGAAGCAATCACCCAACTATGAGATAAAAAGTTGGATTTATAAGATAGATAAAGTCAACATAACATTTTTTATTATAAATCTAGGTTTTCTTAAAAACAGCTGCAGCTGGATTAGATTCATGGTCCGTGTATGTTTTGGTCATTGGATTTTCCTTTCAGAAACGGGTATTAAAAAACAGAAAACGAGTGGTTATTTGATTTTCGTTTTAAAATACAAAAATTAAAATTGAAATACAAGGCGTTTTTCTTTTTCATGGTCAGAAAGGGATGAGCGAAATTAAAAAAATGATTCGATTTTCATTTTCTATTTCATATAACAAAAATTAAAATCACTAGAAAACAGAAACAGAAAAAAGGCCTGTTTTTTCATATTCTGAGACCGGATGTTGTCATTTACAGGACCGTGCTGTGTAGAAGAAACAGTAGACTAGTAGACTGCGTTCAATCCAGCCGTGAGTCCGATCTCCGTGGTCAAATCAGCCGCACTTAAATTTAGAGTGTACAAGTATTCTCAGCATTATGGTAAATGCGGAGAAACAGCGTATTTACTTCCGGTTTTCAAAATAAAGGTATTTAGAGCCGTAAGCTATAATTAAAATATGTTACATTAAAGTGTTTCATGTGCCCCTGATGAAAAAAAAACACTTTATATCAAGTATCTTTACTGCACCAGTGTGGAGAAATGCCAAAATAAAAGCCTCATATTTATGCCTCCAGAGATTGCATATTTGACCATATTTGAGGTACTGTAAAAACATATTGCTCAGTGTTTCCTGGCTACTGATGGTATATTTGACTTTTACACATATGAGACTACAAACATACTTAATATCAAGCATTTTTACTGTACAAATTTGGTCCCATATTTATACTTCCAGATTCCATATTTTCTTATATTTTTGAGCTACTGTAAAAACATATTGCTCAATATTTCCAGGCTATGGGTGAAACATTTTCATTATACTTCAATAATGCTGCAGTAATCATGACAAAATTTCACACAAATGTTTAATAACATCTTGATAATATAAACACTAAACACAAAATCCTACACAATTCTAATTTGTTTACTTTTCTCACAAAATGCAATGCAGTCCACATTCTTCTTATTTTGCTGCTCTGCTGTGTCCATTTGTAGGTAAAAGGGAAAAATAATTAGTTTTAACTTCAACTTTGGGACTTTTATTCTTCAATTTCTCCAAATTGGTACTGTAAAAATGCTTGATATTAAGTATACTTGTAGTCTTAGATGTGTAGAAGTCAAATATATCATCCATAGCCAGGAATTATTGAGCAAAGTGTTTTTACAGTAGCTCAAATATATGAAAATACCACTTGGAGGTACAAATATGGACTTTTATTGTTGAATTTCTCCAAATTGGTACAGTAAAAATGCTTGATATTAAGTATGTTTGTAGTCTCATATGTGTAAAAGTCAAATATACCATCAGTAGCCAGGAAACACTGAGCAATATGTTTTTACAGTACCTCAAATATGGTCAAATATGCAATCTCTGGAGGCATAAATATGAGACTTTTATTTTGGCATTTCTCCACACTGGTGCAGTAAAGATACTTGATATAAAGTGTTTTTTTTTCATCAGGGGCACATGAAACACTTTAATGTAACATATTTTAATTTACGGCTCTAAATACCTTTATTTTGAAAACCGGAAGTAAATACGCTGTTTCTCCGCATTTACCATAATGCTGAGAATACTTGTACACTCTAAATTTAAGTGCGGCTGATTTGACCACGGAGATCGGACTCACGGCTGGATTGACCGCAGTCTACTAGCCTACTGTTTCTTCTCCACAGCACCGTCCTGTAAATGACAACATCCGGTCTCAGAATATGAAACAACAGGCCTTTTTCTGTTTCTGTTTTCTAGTGATTTTATTTTTTGTTATATGAAATACAAAATGAAAATCGAATCATTTTTAAATTTCGCTCATCCCTTTCTGACCATGAAAAGAAAAACGCCTTGTATTTCAATTTTAATTTTTGTATTTTAAAACGAAAATCAAATAACCACTCGTTTTCTGTTTTTTAATACCCGTTTCTGAAAGGAAAATCCAATGACCAAAACATACACGGACCATTCATGAAGTCAAACACCAAACCACCATCTTTGTTTTCTTTATTTCCACTGGGTCCGTGTATGTTTTGGTCATTGGATTTTCCTTTCAGAAACGGGTATTAAAAACAGAAAACGAGTGGTTATTTGATTTTCGTTTTAAAATACAAAAATTAAAATTGAAATACAAGGCGTTTTTCTTTTTCATGGTCAGAAAGGGATGAGCGAAATTAAAAAAATGATTCGATTTTCATTTTCTATTTCATATAACAAAAAATAACATCACTAGAAAACAGAAACAGAAAAAAGGCCTGTTGTTTCATATTCTGAGACCGGATGTTGTCATTTCTCAAACTCAACTGTGACAAATCAGACCTTATCATTATCGGCCCCAAATCCCTCACCAAAACCACAGACAGTTTCCACCTCACCATTGACAACTCCACCCTGTCTCCATCCCCCCACAGTCGCAACCTCGGAGTCATCTTTGACACTAACCTCTCCTTTGAACATCACATAAACCTAATCACGAGAACTGCCTTCTTTCATCTCAAGAACATTGCCCGTCTTCGCCCATCACTCTCCTTCTCTGCTGCTGAAACCCTCATCCACGCCTTCATCACCTCCAGAATCGACTACTGCAACAGCATCCTCTATGGCACACCATCCAAAACTCTAAATAAGCTACAATACATCCAAAACTCTGCAGCACGTATGCTCACCCACACCCGCACCCGTGATCACATCACTCCCGTCCTCCAGACCCTCCACTGGCTCCCAGTTCCACAGCGCATTCAGTTCAAAATCCTCCTCCTTACACACAAAGCCCTCCATAACCAGGCTCCTTCCTACCTCACTGACCTGCTCCATCGCCACAATCCATCCCGCAGCCTCCGCTCATCTGAAGCAAACCTCCTGACTCCTCCACCCCGGACCAAGCACCGAACCTGGGGCGACAGAGCGTTCTCTGTAGCTGCCCCCTCCCTCTGGAACTCTCTCCCCAAACCCATCCGTGACTGTACCGACCTTCCAACATTCAAATCACTGACAAAAACACACCTTTTTAAAATTGCTTTTAATGTTTAGCTAAGTCTGATGTGTTTTTAATGTTTTACTATTTGATGTTGTTTGGCTGCTTTTATGTTTGTTTGTTTTTTATGTAAAGTGTCTTTGAGTATTTAGAAAAGCGCTTATAAATAAAATGTATTATTATTTACAGGACGGTGCTGTGGAGAAGAAACAGTAGGCTAGTAGACTGCGGTCAATCCAGCCGTGAGTTCGATCTCCGTGGTCAAATCAGCCGCACTTAAATTTAGAGTGTACAAGTATTCTCAGCATTATGGTAAATGCGGAGAAACAGCGTATTTACTTCTAGTTTTCAAAATAAAGGTATTTAGAGCCGTAAGCTATAATTAAAATATCTTACATTAAAGTGTTTCATGCGCCCCTGATGAATAAAAAAGACTTTATATCAAGTATCTTTACTGCACCAGTGTGGAGAAATGCCAAAATAAAAGTCTCATATTTATGCCTCCAGAGATTGCTTATTTGACCGTATTTGAGGTACTGTAAAAACATATTGCTCAGTGTTTCCTGGCTACTGATGGTATATTTGACTTCTACACATCTAAGACTACAAGTATACTTAATATCAAGCATTTTTACTGTACCAATGTGGAGAAATTGAAGAATAAAAGTCCCATATTTATACTTCCAGATTCCATATTTTCTTATATTTGAGCTACTGTATAACATACAGGGACCCCACTGCTGCACCAAGTACATTTACTCAAGTACTGCACTCTGGTACAGTTCTGAGCTGCTACGTTTTATACTGAAGCTGTTCAAGCAAGAGGGATGCAAATGATGATGATAGCAAAACCTGATCTGTGTAAGCAACACACACACACACACACACACACACACACACACACATGCTCAGTGATCATGTGATTTCAAGGAAATAAAAATGGGTGGAGCCACCGAGTCAGTTGAATGAAAAAAGGGAGGGAGGAACCACAAACAGCAAACAACAAACCCTAAAACCAGTCAGAGTCCATTTTGAATTGACAGAGCAAGAGGAGTATAACTGAGGGCTGAGGCAGAGTGAGTGTTAATACAACACTGTTATTATTTTCACCTGTAAAGGAAAGAAATGTTAGAAGGAACTGTTTCATTCATCTGTGTGACATGCAAGTCATGACAAGTGGAGTGCTGGTGTGTGTGTGTGTGTGTGTGTGTGTGTGTGTGTGTGTGTGTGTGTGTGTGTGTGTGTTGGGATAGCAGGATCGTGCGTGACTTCCTGTTCAGTCTCGTTTCCTGATTCTGTGCTCTGAGCTCACAGTCAGTGTTACTGTTTTACCTCTCAGACTGACGTCAGACCTGAAGATGAGTGATTGTGACGAGGAAGAGGAGGACAGAGCAGAATGTCCGATGTCCATCATACTGTCTGTGAAGAGTGACTTTTCCAAAGATAACCCCCCAGACTTCAGTGATGAACCTGGAGCCTCAGACACACAGTAAGAGTCTTACTTGTGAACTTTAATCCTGCATAGTCGAGCAAAAATATGTTTCAAATTCCTACCCTAGCTATGTTATTTAACTTAAAAATAAAAACATCAGACAATTTTTGCCTCTTTTTAGGAGTGACTGAGTCATTTTCAACATTTGTTGTGTTCTGGTTTCAGAATGATGAAGACAGTTGGAGAACAATTAGATACAAAATAGGATGAAGGCTGTATTCCTGAAATATTCATGTTCGTGAAGTGATGTTACTGCATAGTCTGCAGTTTATATATATCATTTCAAATGTTTAGAATCCAATCCATCAATAAATTAATGGAAAACTGTCTCTTTGTCATCATGCAATAACAAGACAGCATTGTAGTGGTATTGAACCACATCTTTTTGACTTGATTTTAGTGAAAAATATGGGCTTGTTTACGACAGTTAACTATTGTAGTGGTTCCCAACCTTTTCTCTCATTGAGTAAACTGACGTCCCCTCACTATGTGACATATTTTATATTATATTCAATACGAAACAATATCAGTTCAGTACACAACAACAGTTTAACCCAAACAGTGAGCACAGAAACTGCAGGAAGGGTGTGTCCAACTTTGGATGAATTTTGAGCAGATTATCATTTCTTATTTCTTTGCCTCAGCATCATATAAACCAAAGCTGGATCTTTTCTGAAGCGGCCATATATTCAAATCCAGTTGCCCTTTGCTGCATGTCGTCCCCTCTCTCTGCCTCCCTTTCCTGTCACTCTTAGCTGTCCTATCCAATAAAGGCAACCCCCACATTTTATATTCATTTGTGTTTGCAGAGGTCAGTGCCACATACAGAGAGAAGAGTGTCCAGTGTCCAGCTGTCTGTCTATGAAGAGTCATCGTTCCAAAGAGTCACCCCCATACTTCAGCAATGAACCTGGACCCTCAGACACAAAGTAAGACACTGTAACCTTTTAACTCCCTCTGAGAATTTGTTTCTGTCATACTGGTCGAGTTTACGTTACACCGCAGGTCAACGTGCAGGACAACACAGCGCATGCGTGATAGTGTGTGCATGTGAAGCAGATGAACCTGGACCAATTGTCCAAATATTCTTTATACTTAATACTGTGATGTTTTGCACATATTTTTGCAGAAACTGTACAGCTTCCATTTAAATAACATAGTACAGAGAGTTGCCGCTTATAATATGCAATTTTTGTCACTTGAAAAAAAATCAAGGGTGTTGGGGTTTATTTAGGCCTGTTCTAAAGGATCAGTGTGTAGAATTTAATGGCACTTTAGTGGTGTAGTTGTAGATTGATACTCCCTCACTTCAGCCTATCCTTCGAAGTACAAAGGAGAAACTAAGATGGTCTTGAAATGCTTAAAAAAACACATTCAAAAGATATAGTTTCTTTCTACATTTATTTTCCCCGATGCATTGATTGGCGCTCATCTCCACAGCCTCTCTAACGAGGAGTGGGCTGCTGCCTGTAGTGTAAAGACCCAGGTCTCACTGGGAAAACTGAGCAAGAAGTGTAGATGCATATATAAAGGTTTAAAGATTTTTTCTTACAGTGCATCGTTCTTATGAATTTTGTTACTGCTACATGGTATACAGAAATATGTACCCTTTTTAATTAAACAATATTTTAATAGAATAGGTTAACCTGTTTACATAGTTGTCTTTTATTATGTTTATAATATTTTTTCATATGTTATTGTCAATGTATGCTTGATCTGAAGTGATTTTGATAAAAATATATTTTTTTGCTTGCAGAGGTCAGTTCCACCTACAGAGGGTAGAATGTCCAGTATCCAGTTGTCTGTCTATGAAGAGTCACCGCTCCAAAGAGTCACCCCCATATTTCAGCAATGAACCTGGACCCTCAGACACAAAGTAAGAGACAGTTTCTACTGTAAACCGACCTGATGAATGTTGCTTTGTCTTTTAGATAAGATTCACGTAACTGTTGCATCCACCGCAGGTCAACATGTAGGACACACAGCGCATGCATGATATTGCATGCATGTGAAGCAAAAATCTATTTAGGTCATTTTTGCCTTTCTGACTTTTTGAAAGGAAACAATTAAATAATAAATGTTTGGCAATTAGACCCCAATGTGACATCAGTAGATTCCCCCCTGATGGAGTTTGGTGGTCATGATGGGAAGGAGGGAGTGACTGAAGATTTGGATATGACCAGGAGTGGATTTTGATTAGCTCAAGGATGCAAAGTAACTAACCCTCCTCTGGCAAAGGCATGACCCGCTGTACTCTGCCTCTGACTGGCTTAGCCTGACAATGACTTTTCTGGTGTATCCCTGCTGGATCTGATTGGACAAGAGGCATTCTTGAGCATGGGACTTTCAGCTACATCACTCCACTTTACAGGCGTTCTAATAACCATTACAAACAACAACAAAACAACAAAATTAACATGTTCTCAAGCTTTCAGACCTGCAAGACAAAAAGTTTTTGTTTTATTTTTTATGTTGCATGACTCATTTTAAATCACAATTCACATCATAGTCTCTGTATGTTTATATAAAGCCCCTCACCTATGCCCACTCGGTGCTATGATCTCCCTCATCAGACAGTTTTTGTATGGCTCCTCAAACAATGTGCCCTTTCGATGTTCTCTGTCTCTCAGTGGGTTTTTAGGGGTTTTTTTGTGTCTTCGTACCTGGAGGTTTGCACTGAAGTATCCAGGCAGCCAGGTATTTTTCACTAGATGCTATGGGACAGAGAGAATTTACTTGCTCTTCAAACATAGCATCCCTCCGATTTTTGGGTCTTTGGGGTCTTGGTTTTTTCATTGAATGTTATGGAAATATTTTGCTTCATTCTCGTCACCCTTTAGGATGAATCTGTCAGGTTTGAAATCAGAATCTGTGGTAATGTGTAGAGTTACGCAAAGTAGCTAGCAAGCTGGTGTTCAAGATAGTGTTTATATGTTGCTTGGCAACAGTCCAGTCCTGGTCCAGTTGCAGAACTATTACATAATCATCATCATAATCTGTTTTCACTTATTACTGTGATACGAATACACACTTAAGCTTCTGTATTTCCACAAATAATCCAACTGGAACCAAGTTGGCTTTGTTTAACAATGTGTAACAGTTTGTCTAATTTTGTCTCTTCCACGTCAAGTAATGTAATGAGTTAATACCAACAAAACATTTGGGTTAAAAAGAATTGTCTTCTTATTCACAGAAAGAAGAAGAGGAGTCATGTTTCTGTGGAGGAGCAGCTGTCCTGCTGTGTTTTGTGTCAGGATGTCCTGAAGGATCCAGTCTCTACCAGCTGTGGACACTGGTTCTGCAGACAGTGCATCACCTCATACTGGGACCAGTCTGCTTCATCAGGAGACTCCTCCTGTCCCCAGTGTGGAAAAAGATCCAGAACAAGAGCTGGACTGCAGACAGCCAGTCAGACCAGCACTGTACAAAGTAAAGGTATTTGCATACAGACTCTTGCAGGGGTCTCAATATTTACACTTTTGTGGTTTTTTTTTTAAAGGATCAGTGTGTAGGATTTAGTGGCATCTAGCAGTGTAGTTGCTGATTGCAAACCCTATGCCTCACCATCCCGTTCCATGCACGTAGGAGAAACTTTGGTGGCTAAAAAACGCACAGAAAATGTGAAAGGTCCTATCTTGAGTCAAATTAGTGTTTTCATTTCCTTTTTCATTCTTTGCTACTGTAGAAACGTTACAATTTAACATTGCAGAGTTTGTAAAAGAGGACTTGAGTGTCTGTAGATATATTCCATTTTGCCATATTCTGCAAATAGAACCTCCTAAATATTATACACTGCAAGTTTTGAGTTTACCCAATCATGGCAAAGTGATGGGAGATAATGTTTTTATCCATTTAATGAGCCTGTATCTGATGCCATTCGTTGTAACACCTCATCAAGTAAAAAATTAGGTAGGTTGAAAAACCAAGCCAAATTATAACAATCAAACTGACAACATTTTTCTCTGGTCAAATACTCACTTCTGACATCAGAAACAACACAAATTCAAAAGTTGTTTGTGTCACACAAAGTCTGTCATGCCGTCGAGAGTACACACTAGAGTGGTGAGCGGACAAGCACTGTGGTCTGACTCTCAGAGCAAAGTAGGCTTTTAGGGATGTCGGACGGCTTGTTTCTGAAAGAAGATGAGTTGAGGAGCTGCATGGAGGGTTAGTATATGATAAATGAGGATGTTTTTGAAGTGAAATGATGTTAAGGTACTCTAGTGGAGTCTCAGACTAGGAATATAGAGCGGGAAATTAGCACAATAGGTCTTCATAAAGTGGAGACTCATTATAGAAATTCAACAGAGCAGATGAATAATTAAGATTATATCTAGTACGAAACAATATAAGACAAGACTTCTGCTTGCTTAATATGGACAAAAAAAATTTTTGGTCGAAAGAAATTTCTGATTGCAGAGAACTTCAGTTATGTCGGAATCAAATGTATATAACACTGTCATCTGCATATTACTGAACAGATCAATTTTAAGATTATTAATAAAAAAAATAGATGCCTAAAATAGATCTGGGTTATTTATTTTTTTTAAACCGTTAAATAATCTGACTGGTTGTGATAAACAGAAACACACTAACAATAGTTTTGACAGTAAGAAACCAAAACAATATCTGTTGAGGCATTGAGTACATTTCCAAAGTTTTGCCATTGACCATATGCTTCCCAATCAGCTGGATTGCCAGTCTCTAAAAAAGAAAAGACAAAAGGATCTACATTTTGATATATGGACTTTCTTTCTCTTTCAGCAGATGGTGGTTTGCAGGAGGTTTTAGATGAACATAAGATCAGTCTGAAGACCAGATGTAAACATGTGACTGAAGGAACTGATGAACCAGGAAGTGGAACCCTCCTCAACAGGATCTACACTGAGCTCTACATCACAGAGGGACAGAGTGAAGAGGTTAATACCCAACATGAGGTGAGGCAGCTTGAGACAGCTTCCAAGAAGAAGATCCTCCATGACACTCCAATCAAGTGCCACGAGATCTTTAAAGCCTTACCTGACCAACAGAGACACATCAGAGTAGTTCTGACGAACGGTGTCGCTGGTGTTGGAAAAACCTTCTCAGTGCAGAAGTTCACTCTGGACTGGGCAGAGGACTTGGAAAACCAAGATGTCAGTCTGGTGGTTCTGCTTTCATTCAGGGAGCTGAACCTGATCAAAGATGAGCAGTACAGTCTTCTCACGCTGCTCCATGTTTTCCATCCAACATTACAGAAGGTCACAGCAGAGCAGCTCGCTGTCTGTAAACTTTTGTTCATCTTTGACGGCCTGGATGAAAGCAGACTTTCACTGGATTTCCACAACAATGAGGTTGTGTCTGACGTCACACAGAAGTCTTCAGTCAACGTGCTGTTGACAAACCTCATCAAGGGGAATCTGCTTCCCTCGGCTCTCATCTGGATAACTTCCAGACCTGCAGCAGCCAATCAGATTCCTCCTGAATGTGTGGACAGGGTAACAGAAGTACGAGGCTTCACTGACGCCCAGAAGGAGGAGTACTTCAAAAGGAGATTCAGTGATGAAGATCTGTCCAGCAGAATCATCTCACACATCAAGACCTCCAGGATCCTCTACATCATGTGTCTAATCCCAGTCTTCTGCTGGATCACCTCTACAGTTCTGGACCACATGTTGATTACAGACCAGAGAGGAGAGCTGCCCAAGACCCTGACTGACATGTACTCACACTTCCTGCTGGTTCAGACAAAGAAGAAGAAGCAGAAGTATGATGAAGGACATGAAAAGAGTCCACAGGAGCTGACAAAGGCTGACAGGGAAGTTCTTTTGAAGCTGGGGAGGCTGGCATTTGAACAGCTGCAGAAAGGAAACATCATGTTCTACCAAGAAGATCTGGAGCAGTGTGGTCTTGATGGCACCGAGGCCTTGGTGTACTCAGGAGTTTGTACAGAGATCTTCAAAAGAGAGAGTGTGATCTTCCAGAAAACAGTCTACTGCTTTGTTCATCTGAGCATTCAGGAGTTTCTGGCTGCAGTCTACATGTTCCACTGTTACACCAACAGCAACAAAGAGGTCCTAGAGGACTTCCTGGGTAAAAAAAAAAAAGATGACGTAGAAAAAGATGATGATTATAATGACTTTGATGACCCTGAGGATGACGATTATGATAAATCTGAGGATGAAGATGAAGAAAAAGATGATTATGACGACTTAAAGGTTTGTGATGATGATTATGACTTTGATGACGCTGAGGATGACGATTATGATAAATCTGAGGATGAAGATGAAGAAAAAGACGATTATGATGACTCAGATACTCGTGATGATGATTATAATGACTTTGATGACCCTGAGGATGACGATTATGATAAATCTGAGGATGAAGATGAAGAAAAAGACGATTATGATGACTCAGATACTCGTGATGATGATTATAATGACTTTGATGACCCTGAGGATGACGATTATGATAAATCTGAGGATGAAGATGAAGAAAAAGATGATTATGACGACTCAGATACTCGTGATTATGATGATTTTGAAAACGATTATGATGACAATGATGACCACGGTTATTCTGGTAAACGTGATGACAGTGACTCTTCCTTAAAAGTCTTCCTGAGTAGCGTCATGGAGAAATCCCTCCAAAGTAAAAATGGCCACCTGGACCTGTTTGTTCGCTTCCTTCACGGCCTCTCTCTGGAGTCCAACCAGAGACTCTTAGGAGGCCTGCTGGGTCAGACAGACAACAGTCCAGAAATCAACCAGACAGTCATCGACAACCTGAAGGAGATGAACAGAGATGATATCTCTCCTGACAGAAGCATCAACATCTTCCACTGTCTGATGGAGATGAACGACCACTCAGTCCATCAGGAGATCCAAGAGTTCCTGAAGTCAGAGAACAGATCAGAGAAGAAACTCTCTGAGATCCACTGCTCAGCTCTGGCCTACATGCTGCAGATGTCAGAGGAGGTTCTGGATGAGGTGGACCTCAAGAAGTACAACACATCAGACCAGGGACGACAGAGACTGATTCCAGCTGTGAGGAACTGCAGAAAGGCTGTGTGAGTACATTTTTATTTACAAAATAAATCAATTTAGAGTTCTAATCAAGTTTAAACATACACAGTTTCAATGCTCATGTGTCGTGTCATGAGCCGTTAAGAATTTTATATTAACAATACATGTACCATTTTCAGTCTTGATTTTCACCTTCTACATATTTTCCTTTGTGTGATTTTGCCTTAATTAAAATCAACTTGAGTTAACAGATTCTGCTGTCTTTTATCCTAAAGGCCCTGACACATCATTGGCCAATGTCAGACCTTCAATGAGCATCTGTAGCCCTAGTTTTTGCAATGTGTTCTGCACCGGTGGCCCTTGTTTGCTCTTATCTGTGTTTTTTCCAGCTGACTGAGCATGTTGAATCAGAAGGCCAGAGAGAAATCCCTCTGATTGGCTATTCATCTTAAGCAAATCTGAGCAAATCAGCAAATCGATAGGGATTGCACGAAAGGATTGTCTCATATTTCGACTTCACAACTTCAGCGAGAGTGGACAAACCTACATCCATAGGGCCACTTTTTCTTATATCTATGGTCCTAGGTCTACCTGTGTTATTTTTTGAACAACGAATGCAGACCACCACCACCTGCTGGTATGAATTGAAAATGATTTGACATGCCTATGTATTCACAGACTTCATAACAGTGGACTTTCAGACACTCACTTTGAAGTTGTGGCCTCAGCCCTGAGGTCCGATCCCTCCCATCTAACCAAACTGGACCTGAGCTACACCAGCCTGCAGGATTCAGGAGTGAGGCTGTTGTCTGCTGGACTAGAAAGTCCAAACTGTAAACTGGACAGTCTGAGGTCAGTTCACTGTCTGTATACATATACAGATAGCACATTAAGTTGGGGTAAGCGATTCTGGAGAAATCCAATACTATTACAAATGCCATGATATAGTGAGAACAACGACACACCAACTGACTAACTTTAGCTATGTTATGGCTTTGCAAACTGTCAATGAAGTAGTTGCTGTGAAGCTAAAGTGGCGGAGAGGATGGAACAGTTTTCCAGAGCCAGCACACAAGCTCCAAACAGTGATACTCACAACTCTCCTGCTACTATAGCTAACATCACAATAACAACATCTTGACAAAGTAGACAGTTACCTGATGCACGAATGCTGGCTGGAATGGCTGAATTAAGTTAATACTGTGTGGCATTTAATGCACACACAGAACGGAAAGCTAGTGGATTTTCACTCATTCGAAAAAAAGTGTATTGAATTGAATTACCTAGAATCGTTTATCTACACTTACCACACCCTTTAAATGTCCCATCAGGAAAAGAAACACACTGAACTATTGTTCCTGAGCTCCCATGCAGCTTTCGGACTCTCTGATCACTGTCTTGTTCATCTTCTCCTGAAATCCAGGCATAAACTAAAATCTGATAAGCCTGTGGTCAAGAAGACATGGAGGAGAATGAGAACAAGGCAGAGCTGGAATTGCAGGCCTGCAATGACTGAGTGTTTTTGAGGCTGCAGCCCCAGACCTAGATGAACTGATACTGTGACAACTTATATCAACTTTTGTAAGGGTGTTTGTGTGTGCCAGCTAAAATGGTCTGCACTTAAACAACAAAAAACTGGGCAGCTGTGTCAGGTCTACAAAAGTAGAAGGATTCTGTCCAACCAGGCCAGAAACCCACTGATAAAGGCAACAAGTAATTCTATACTGTCTTTTGGTCTAGTGTTTGGCTCTGGTTTTGGTGCTCTAACCAGCACGTGTGTGTTTGGGAGGGAGTGTGACAAAGAGAATCGGAAGAGAGATGGACTATTGCACACAATGGTTCTGTAAGTAATTACTTACTCGGTATGCTGCTTTGTAACTTGACCCACCCACTCAAACCTGTAATATTTATTTAAAGTAAATCAACCCAAACCTGCACACATTGTGTCCCATAGGCTGTGGGTTGTTGCTTTACAAATTTCAGAAAAGACCGATTTCATTTCAAACACATACTTTATCCTTGATTGTATTCTGGATTAGCCTAATTAAATTAGTTTAAAGATTTTTGGAATTAAAGCTGACAAAAATGTAATGAATTTTCATCTGCTAAAACTGAAATGTTTTGAGTTGTTGTCAACTTTTTTGCCCATGTGAGCAAATCTGGCAAGAAAACAAACGGTGGACCAATGAAAACCATGAAAAAAAGAAACAAAAAACAGGTTCAAAAAGATTTTTCGACTTCAAAGTATATGTTTTCCTCATGGATCAACCTTTTTCACTAATTTTCACTACTCTTTCAACCACTGAGTAAAACCAAACTAAAACTATGAAGGATAAAAATGTGACTAAAACTCTTGAGTTTTTTTGTCTAAATACTTAGACTAAAACTAAAATAACTGCTATGCTGAGTAAAGAACTGTGTATAGTGCCTCTCCCAAATTAAAGACTGCAGATGGAACTACTGATGTATGTATGCAAGCAATTCAAAGAAGCTCATACATTCTACAATCAATTGTACACAGCTCATTATGAATGCTTCTGGAAAGGTTATATATTGAATAAAAGTAAAGGATTTTAATCCAACATGTCTGATTTGATATTCAGCTATTTCTCTTGGGATAAATAAAGTTCTATATTTTCTTATTCTTTACCCTGTGATTGTTGTAGTGACTTTTGGATGATGTCTGTAGAAGGCTGACCTTATGATGATCCACAATAACACAATGACAAAGTAATTCCATAAAAGGGAAAAGCTAATTAATAGGACATGGTAATATTGAATAGAGCAGCTGGAATAGATCTTATTGTACATTTTAAATACAACATTTATTCTTGTTTCAGATTAATTTACTGCAGGTTGTCAGAGATCAGCTGTGATTATCTGGTCTCAGCTCTGAAGTCCAACCCCTCCCATCTGAGAGAGCTGGACCTGAGCTACAATCACAATCTGCAGGATTCAGGAGTGAAGCTGCTGTGTGGTTTTCTGGAGAGTCCACACTGTAGACTGGAGACTCTGAGGTCAGTTCACTGACTCTTCTACTTCTGGTATTATATTTTCTTTGGTTTAGTGTTTCCTGTTTATTTTGTAATACTCTCCTTATCTTCTTTCTTTCTTTTTTTTTTACTTCCCTGATTCTTTTTTTCTAATTTATTTCACTTTTTGCTTCCCTTTTTGTGGAAATTACTTTGTATATACTTTTTAAGACAGCACTGCACTTTTGTTGTTTTTGGGAGTCCTTATTTTTAACAATATCCAGACCAGCCGGCGTAACAATGCACGAAGCGGCCCGCATATACTTTGTTTACAGGGGGGAACAGCTGACAGCGGTAAGGGGAAAGGAGGAGGCCTGGCTGTGTTCGTGAACGAGAGGCGGTGTAAACCTACACACTGCACTGTTAAAGCACAACTGTGTAGTAAGGACATTGAAGTGTTAGCAGTTAGCATGAGACCATATTATCTGCCACGGGAGTTTTCACATGCTATTGTGATAGTGGTGTACGTCCCCCCATCTGCTAAAGCGGACACAGCTTCTGATGCCCTGCTCTCAGTTACCAGCAAGCTGCAGACACAGCACCCACAGGCCCTCTTCCTCATCTCTGGAGACTTCAATCATGCTTCTCCCTCATCTGTTCTGCCCACATACACTCAGTATGTCACCTGCCCCACAAGAGACAATAAAACACTGGACTTATTTTATACCAACACCAAGGAGGCATATTCTGCATCCCCCCTCCCCCCCAGGAGGAGCTGACCACAACACTGTTCCCCTACAGCCTGTATATAAGCCTACTGTACACAGGCAGCCTGTGGTCCCACGCACAGTGAAGAGGTGGACTGCAGAGAGTGAGGCAGCTCTCAGGGACTGCTTCAGCACAACTGTGTGGACAGAACTGTGTGAGTCACATGAGGGGGACATCAATGCCATGACAGACTGCATAACAGACTACATAAACTTTTGCTTTGAGAACACCGTTCCCTCCAGGGTGGTAGTCGTTTCTCAAATAACAAGCCGTGGATTAACCCTGATATTAAAGCTCTGCTGAAGGAGAAGAAGAGAGCTTTCAGATAAGGGAATAAGGATGAGCTGAGGACCGTACAGAAGGAGCTGAGAAGGAAGATCAGGGAGGGAAAGGCCAGCTACAGGAGGAAGATGGAGGAGCAGCTGCAGCGGCAGAACATCAGAGGGGTGTGGAGAAGCCTGGAAACCATTTCGGGCTACAAAACACCCCATGTACAAGTTGAGGGGGATCGACAGTGGGTCAACGATCTAAATCTACATTTCAATAGGTTTGATCAAGCACCCACTCCTCCCCCCATGCAGCCGGTCCCTCACTTGCTGACACCTGGCTTATGCCCTCCTCACTCAGCCCCTCACACCTCTGGCTCATCAGACGGTACAACCACTTCACACCAAGATAGAGCCACTCATCCCCCGCCCCTGTCCTTCACAGCAGACCAGGTGAGAAAAGAGCTCAGGAGGATGAAAGCGAGGAAAGCAGCTGGACCGGATGGTATTAGCTCCAGGCTCCTTAAGTCCTGTGCAAACGAACTGTCTGGAGTTATGGAGCATGTCTTCAACCTTAGCCTTGAGCTGAGAGTGGTACCACAGATTTGGAAGACCTCATGCGTGGTTCGGGGGCCTAAAACATCGCACCCTAAAGACCTCAGCAGCCACAGATCGGTGGCTTTAACATCCCACCTGATGAAGACACTGGAGAGACTGATCCTGGGACATCTCCGCTCTGAGGTGGGCCCCTCCATGGACCCACTACAGTTTGCCTACCGTCCCAATGTTGTGAAGGACGCTGTTATCTTCCTGCAACATCGAGCTCTCTCTCACCTGGAAAAGCCCGGCAGCACTGTGAGAATCACCTTTTTTGACTTCTCCAGTGCGTTCAACACCATCCAGCCGGTGATTCTGAGGGACAAACTGGAGAGGATGGGTGTGGACCACCAGCTGTCTACATGGATCCTGGACTACCTCACAGACCGTACACAGTTTGTGAGAAACAGGAACTGTGTGTCTGACCTGCTCACCAGCAGCACGGGTGCCCCCCAGGGGACTGTCCTGGCCCCCTTTCTTTTCACCCTCTACACAGCAGACTTCAGACACAACACCGACAGCTGTGTACTGCAGAAGTTCTCCGACGACTCTGCAATTGTTGGCCTCATCAGAGACGATGACGACGCAGAGTACAGAGGACTGACGGAGAACTTTGTGGACTGGTGTCAGCGAAACCACCTCCTGATCAACGCGGAGAAAACCAAGGAGATGGTGGTGGATTTTTGCAGACGCCGTTCTGCCCTCCCCTCACCAGTGAACATCCAGGGAATGGACATTGAGCAAGTGGACTCTTATAAGTACCTGGGTGTTCACCTCAACACCAAACTGGACTGGACTCACCACACTGATGCACTCTATAGGAAAGGACAGAGCAGGCCCTACCTTCTGAGGCGACTGATGTCTTTTGGAGTGAAAGGGGCACTCCTGAAGACCTTCTATGACTCTGTAGTGGCATCAGCCATCCTGTACGGAGTGGTCTGCTGGAACAGTGGCATCACAGAAAGGGAGAGGAAGAAACTGGATAAGATCAGCAGGAAGTCCATCTGTGTCCTGGGCTGCCCTTTGGACTCAGTGAGGGAGGTGGGTGACAGGAGAGTCCTGGCTAAAGTGTCATCCATGCTGGACAATGAGTCCCACCCCCTGCACGGTGACCTGACAGAACTGAGGAGCAGCTTCAGTGACAGACTGCTTCACCCTCGATGTGTGAAGGAAAGATACAGAAGGTCTTTCCTTCCTGCTGCTGTTAGGCTCCACAATGAACACTCTTAATATGTGCAATAGTATTACACCACAAGGTGTAAAAACTTCAAAACACCAGTTTGACACCAGTCTGTGCAATGCTACTTTATTTCATTATTTATCTTTTATAAGCTACTCTTTGCTCTTATTATCTCTTATTCTGCCCTTTCTGTATGTTGTTGCAAACTGCAATTTCCCCTTTGCGGGACAAATAAAGGTTTTCTTATCTTATCTTCACCTGAGTCTATTCAGACTCCCCTCACTAGAGTATGTGTCTGTGTGTTCCTTTGTTTCAGGGCCAGTTCATCTTGTCTGTTACTCAAGCTTTCCAGCCATTGCCTGTTTCAAGACGCATCCCTCATGGGATTATTTAGACACAACAAAACAAACCCACTGCCATCTAACAACAAAATACATAAACAACAACAAAACATAAATATAAACCTTATACAAATAACTTATACATAAACATACCAGCTTACCAACACAGTCCCCAACACGCAAGACACAGTACACAAATCCAAACAACACAAAAACAAAAGTCCATGTTAGTACTATCCACGGTATTGCTCATAAACCAGCAGTCTACAATCCATATAGAAGAATGTATCTGTCATATGTTGCTTATCTCCTCCTATCCCATGCTTTAAAAATGCAAAAACATTATCAGCGACAGTCTATCACCAGTAGTTTTTTTGGCCAATTACTGTGATTTTATTTAGCGAATTTAATGTTTTACCTGTTGTAAAAATAGGTGTTTAAGATATAGGGGGTGAATTCGCAGCGGATTCGCAATGGGTGTAACAGACATTAATCTTGTCAATAAATCCCAGAACTGCCTGAACTTGACCCAATATTGGGATCCTCTCCCTGTTGCCTTGCACTCACCAGTCACTCATGTCTCATTACAGAAGACTCTTCTAATATTTGTTCAACTTTTGTGCCCTTTGTCAATTGTTGAAATGTTATTACAAACAAGTTATACATTTGTCTGATGTAAGCTGATTTGCAAGTTATTCCATGCTCCAGGAATTATATTCCATGCTGTAGTTTAGCTACACATGAAAACCTGATCAGATCTGACTGGATTATAAACTGATTTGTATCTACATTAATTATTATTTTTTCAGTTTGAGTTTCTGCAGTCTGTCAGAGATCAGCTGTTCTTCTCTGGCCTCAGCTCTGAAGTCCAGCCCCTCCCACCTGAGAGAGCTGGACCTGAGTGGAAACAAGCTGCAGGATTCAGTTGTGAATCTACTGTGTGGTTTTCTGGAGAGTCCACACTGTAGACTGGAGTCTCTGAGGTCAGACACCATTTTGAAGTGCAGACATAAGGCTGATATTATACTGATCCACACTGAGGATCTTAATGCTAAAGTCTGTTTTCTTCTTCAGTCAATGTTGAGCTACACATTTAAAACCTGAATATAACAAGAAGAATCTCCACTGGAATTTATGTGGGCCGCCCTCCTCTGATTAGAGGGTGTTAACACTGTTTTTATAGAAATGTCCCAAACTGTCCACTCTGTGTCAGCACTGGACTCATAAGGTTCAGGTAAAACTTCACTAATAATGGTAACTTTAACATCAGCATTGATGTGTTTAACACAGTACAGTCATATAATTCAGTTTACAGCTCAAACACTTTCACCATTTGTATCTTACAGTTTTCAACCTGCTGTTGGGTTCAGGTGTTTGGAGTTTCCTTTTTCTAAACTTGTACATTGTAAACCTTCTTCAGCTCTGAACAGATTATTAAACACTGAATGATTTCAAGCAGGACCATTGTCTTCTAAACTCACATCTTTTATTCTTTATTCAGATTGTTGGACTGCAGTTTGTCAGAGATCAGCTGTGATTATCTGGTCTCAGCTCTGAAGTCCAACCCCTCCCATCTGAGAGAGCTGGACCTGAGTGACAACAAGCTGCAGGATTCAGGAGTGAAGCTGCTGTCTGATCTTGTGAAGAGTCCACACTGTAGACTGGAGACTCTGAGGTCAGTAGAGGGTTGGAGTCAGTCCATGCTGGTTTCAGCAGTATTGTACTAAAATCAGGGAGGTTATTCCCATCGTGTATGCCTTCAGTCCTAGCTTCCACCTTATGAGAACCATAACCAAAGAGTTGCTAATGCAAACAACATGGATGAGAACCCTGACAGCCAACGGTACAGAGGTATATAAAGTGTGAGTCGAGCTTAAATTTCCACTGCGGTGTACAAGAACATTACCACTGCCCAGGAGAAGCCTGGCCTAACACTACAAATAGTGACGGGTTTAACTGAAAGATTGTTCATCCTATGTTTCTTCTGTAAGTTCTTTCATGTTTCCATAAACAATCAAATTTGATCTGGCAAAGAAATTCTCATTTACATTTTCTCAAAACAAAACATTGCTTGCTGTTGTGAAGATACAAATTAAACCTAAGCAATGCATGATGGGAAAAACCAATAGCATGAAGCTTGTCCAAAAGAAGATCGTAATCCACCAGATCAAAAGCTTTGGTGAGATCAATAAATATCCTGTGAGAGGACTGCAATTAGATGCAGAGAAAAACACTCGAGTGTGTCAGGTTTAGTGTCATCTAAGTGGCAGTAGTTGCAGATTGCAACTACCACGCTTTTTTAACAACGTAAAGGCCCCTATCTAGGGCTGTTTGGTTTGTGCATTCTGGGCTACTGTAGAAACCTAGTGGTTCAACATGAGGGAATCTGTATAAGAGGACTCGCTCCCTCCGTAGATAAAAACGTCTCATTCTATGGAAACAAATAACGGATTCTTATTCTTTAGGTGATTCTACACTAATGAAAACATAGCTATGAATATTCTATTCAATTTCTGACAGTAGATCCTCCTCAATGTTACACACTGGACCTTGTACGAAAGCAATAGTTGTGGAAAAGTTATAACTGAAAATTGAACTAATATTGAGAGGGTGTTTTTAAGGTAATGTGATTTAAAAAAATAAATAATAATACTTACAATGTAACAAATAATTTAAATAGGTAATCACTGGGATCACAACCGTTGTGGAGCAGGGTAAATCGTACCGTTTTCCAAATATCTGTGCACTGTTCGATTTGATGTGCTGCATTACTGTTGCAGCGAGACTTTTAATACTGATTTATGTCTTCTGTTGTCTGTCTTCTTGTCTCCTCAGGTGGAAGTGATCTCCGTCAGAGTGTAAGAGATGAGAAAGGTGGTTGTATTGAGAGGATCAGCTGTTTGAGCTGGTATTTCAAAAGCATAATCTGGATCAGAATGTAATCTCCTTTTTCTGAGTCAAGGGTCAAACTGATCTCACTGACTTTAGCGAGGGTGACCTCACCAATTCGCACAGGACTAGCATTAGAGGGTACCTCATGTGATTTAGTGTTTCGTGCAAGTCTACTTTTACCTGAATTTATAGTGAAAATGAAATTATAGACATTATTATTATTGGTGTGTTAATGAAGCTACAACTGCTGTGCCACATGAGTAAATGGGCACATTTCTCTCAATTTAAAGATGCACTAATGGTTTCTGCTGATGTGTGATGCTGCAGGTATTAAAATAAAAGTTTTATATCTAACAAAACTATAAAATACGACCTTAAATCACAGAGATACTGATTCACACAGGACTGATATTATCACAGAACCACTGTATTATGGTCAGTAATTTCCAGTGGAATTTTTACTTTACAAATTACTAACATGTCAGATTCATATGGTATTAAGGTCACAGGCCACCTCGGCGGTTATTACTGATCACATGGGCCCAGTTTATCTTTTTTGGATCAGAGTTATCCAGATGTTGTAATGCCTTATTTTACTATCCCAGATTAAACTGATTTTCTAGGTTTTTGTCCTGGTTTTTCAAAGAATGTTCACACCATTCAGATCACTCTGATCCAGACCTCTATCTGTTGGTCATTGTAATACTACATGTCATTGACACAGAAGTGAACATGTTGGTACATGTAAATCAGTTTGTATATTATTCATATTTACTTATCTGCATTAATGTTTAAAATGTTTAGTGTCAGTGCTAGTTTTAGTTTTTTAAAATTATAATATGGGAGGTATTTGTCAGTGGCAAGACTTAAGAAGTTCAGTATAGTTATCACAACACAAACATATTGACTCACAGTCATGTAGACACCCCAGACTCAATAAAACATGAACCACTGCCCCCTCATGCTTGTGTTGACACATTTGACCAAACTGACAAAAATTCAAGACATTCTTCTATATTTTTATTTTATTTTGTTTTATGAGTACACAATATCATGTTCGCTAGTTTTTTTTCCCTTAATGTATTTTCTTTATTTCAATGAAGTAAAATGTTTTTTCCACACCTAGTTTTAGTTTTTAGTTAATTACTCCCGTACCATCGTCTTCTGCACAGTTTTCTTTCTTTCATATCTTTATTCATTTATATTTTAAAAGTACTTTTTAAAAATTTTCTGTGTGATTTGTATATTTTATGCACCAATGCACCAAGACACATTCCTCGTAGGTGTAAAAACCTACTTGGCAATAAACAATTCTGATTCAGATTCAGATTATAATAAACTTGTTCTCTATATCCACCTTGAATCCACACTGGATCCACCCTTCCAGTGGGATCCTGATTTACAGAATGAAAACTATCCTAATCTTATTTGCTTTAATCCAAATCTTCTGGATCTTGAAATGCATAACTTTCAGATATGAATATAATATAATCCTGACAGATGCCCCAACAATCCA